CCTGCCCCAGGTTGGGCCCCCTCCCACAGGAGACAGTCCTCCACAAACTTCTCCAGCATGGGCCCTTCCCATGGGCTGCAGCTCTTCACGAACTGCTCCAGCATGGATCCCTTCCATGGGGTGCAGTCCTTCAGGAGCAGACCGCTCCAGCGTGGGTCCCCCACGGGGTCACAAGTCCTGCCAGCAAACCTGCTCCAGCGTGGGCTCCTCTCTCCATGGGTCCACAGGTCCTGCCAGGAGCCTGCTCTAGCATGGGCTTCCCACAGGATCACAGCCTCCTTTGGGCACATCCACCTGCTCCAGCATGGGGTCCTCCACAGGCTGCAGGTGGATATCTGCTCCACCGTGGACCTCCATGGGCTGCAGGGGAACAGCCTGCCTCACCATGGTCTTCATGGGTTGCAGGGGAATCTCTGTTCTGGTGCCTGGAGCACCTCCTCCCCCTCCTTCTTCACCGACCTTGGTGTCTGCAGAGTTGTTCCTCTCATATTCTCACTCCTCACTCCAGCTGCAGTTTGTGTTCTGTTGGGTTTTTTTCCCCTTCTTAAATATGTTATCACAGAGGTGCTACCACTGTTGCTGATGGGCTTGGCCTTGGCCAGCAGTGGGTCCATCTTGGAGCCGGCTGGCATTGGCTCTATCAGAGATAGGGGAAGCAGCTTCTCACAGAAGCTCCTCACAGAAGCCACCCCTGTAGCTGCCCCCCCGGCTACCGAAACCTTGCCACGCAAACCCAATACACCTGGGCCTTTGCTTAGAGGAGGCAGAGCAGGAGAAAGGGTTGTTGGTTCTTGTGCTGAAAGAGACTAAGCATAGGTCTGCGAATTTTATTCCCTACAGCCAGGCTCACCCACAATAAAATGGACAGCAAAGGAGACAGCCCTGTCCACCAGGAAACACAGGAGGACAAGGAGACAAGCAAGCAGTGTGAAAACTCCTACACAGCAGAGGAAGATGCTACGTCAAGCAGCAAGTCACTGAGTTCTGACAGTAAAATGACACATTCGGATGCGACTGCCACAGAAGATATCACTGAGGGCCTCTTGTCAGAGAAGAGCACCAGTGCCCCTCTCCTAGAGCAGGAGCCAGAAGAGCACATAGAGCAAGAAACACAGGAGAGCGGATCCCAAGGCACATTAAGGAACAGACATGGGACCAAAGGTGAGGTGGTAGCTGCACGCTGCTGCTCTTCCACTGTGCACATGCCTACACTTTCCACAGGCATTAGAAAAACAGTATGGTGAGCTCTCTAGAGCCTGTTGTCAGTTTTCTGGAATCAAGCAGGAAAGAAGGTATAAGAAATTAACTGGCTTCTCTCTTTCTCTCTCCTTTGGCTACTGTCCTGCTTTGAAAGGCATGAACCATGCTGCACTCTGCATCATCTTTCTCCTTCCCCTACCCTAAAAGCAGGGGGAGCCAAGACTCAAAGCAGTATTAACCCAAAGCAGTATTCACTTCTAAGTCTCTCCCTCAGCTGGGAGCTCCTGGCAGCTCTGTTGCTTTTCTTATTAGAGCCCAACTTACCTGTTCCCTCAACACTGAGTGGCACATTTCTTTCTCTTACTGTAGGGCACACAGCCCCAAAGCTAGAGGCTCAGTCCTGCTTGCAGAACGTCACCACCCAAAACACAGACCAGGAGAAGGCCAAAGAGTACCTCTGGCTGAAAGGTGAGGAAAAGAAGCTTCCCTTGTGCATTACTCGTCGACCAGAAGGCAGCCATCCTGCAGGAACAAGTAATGAAGCACAGTTAATTCTTCTTCTCTCTCAGGACCTTTCACAGCCTTTTCTGAGGGTTTGAGAGAAAAACCATTGTCTTAAAAATAGGCTCACTTTGAGCCTATAGTAGCAGCTTTCCCTCCAGCTCTCCAGCCTCAAAAGCAGGCACATTGTGTTCAGCATGCCAGGAGTACCCTGGCACATCCTGGGAGGTCTGAGGCTCCTATGCTGATGGTCCCCCTTCCCAGTCCCCCTCTGTGTTGTGGGGCCCCAAGCAGGAACTGTGATGCTGATCTGCACCACACATTTCTCCTGGTGGAAAGAGACCCTGCTTTGCCATGGAGAGGGACACAAGTGGTTGTGTCTGGACCTTGCTGTCCTCTGTTCCTGAGCAGAAGCATGGTAGCCTTTTTTCACCCAGCATAGCTAGGAGGAAGGTAGTGAGCAAGGCACCTTAGCTGGGTCAGACACCTCCATATGTGGAGGTAGGTGCTCCGAACGGCCATAAACCTTAAAAAAAACAGAGTGGAGGGAAGAGAAGAAAGTTTGTGGCCAGCTGCAGTTTCCTCAGGAAATTTTGCACTGTGACAACAAAGCTGTAGCCTTGCCTCCATCTCTGGAGCTGTAGTCCTCCCTGGCTGGTGTGTAGGAGCATGGGTTTCACAACACAGGGCAAGGAGCCTCTTCACCATTCCTGGGACCTCAGAAAGCGTGCCAACCCGAACCACTTTCCTGGGGTAGTGGGGAAGGTCTGGGAGGGGAAAAAGACCTCTTGTAGCTACTTTCCAGCATACCACTGCAGATCACTTGGGACTGACTTCTGTTCCCCGTCTTGGGTCTCTCCCCTGTTGAACAGGGCTTGTCATCATGAGCCTCATATTGCTCGGCTTCTGCATATTCTGCTTCGGCAGCTCGACCTCCAAGTCCCAGCAAGCCCTCAAGAACCCCACGGTGGAGGCCTTTCTGTCCCAGTTCAACCAGCTGCAGGACAGGTTTCCAGGGCAGAGTCCCCATCTGTGGCTTCGCGGGTGCAAGCTCCTGCAGAAGCACCTCAGTGCGTCCCACCACACGCAGCCAGCCATCATCATCTTCACGGCTGCCCGCAAGGGTGAGCGGACCTTGCAATGCCTTAGCACCCATGTGGCTGACACCTACTCGGCTGCCCTGCATGCCAGCATGGTCCAGATCAATGGCACAGATAAATCCAGGCTCCAGAGTGACCAGGCCAAGCTGGAGGTGGACTCAGAGCTGAGCTTAGCTTTCCAGGCTGGGGGCCGTGCTGCTGTGATACACCGCTTCGAGTTGCTGCCAGCGGGGGCCACCCTCATCTTCTACAAATACTGCGACCACGAAAGTGCTGCTTTCAAGGATGTGGCGCTGCTGCTGACTGTGCTGCTGGAGGAGGAGATGCTGGACACCCACATCAGCCTCCAGCAGGTGGAAGAGAGAGTCCGTGACTTCCTCTGGGCCAAGTTCACCAACACCAGCACCCCCAGCTCCTACGACCACATGGACTCTGACAAGCTGAGTGGGCTGTGGAGCCGCATCTCCCACCTGGTCCTGCCAATCCACCCGGTGCAGACCATTGAGAAGGGGGGCTGCCATGTCCACACCAAACCCTAGGGGCAAAGGCTGCCAGAGCCTGGGAAGGGTTGGAAAGATGGTCCTGGCTGACTCCGGTGCAGGTGGAGGCACAACCAATGATGTTTCTCTTCAACTTGTTTCCTGTACCTTCCTGGGAAGAGTTGGACAGGTACGAGTTGATCCAGGCCATTTGGCCAGCTGAGTCCTAGAGGTGACAGATCATACACTTCCTTCTGGCAGATGGGAAGAGCAGATATTTTAGACTGCTAATTGCACAGGAGAACATCACGGCATGGGGAGGCAGGAGGGAAAATACAACTTTGCAGATAGCATTTCTATCAGGAAATACACAAATAGCGTACACAACTATTATGCCAGAAAGATAATTCTATTCAGTAGCTCTTTCATTTCTCCCTACCCCTCAGTTTGCTAGTGTTGTGTACATCAGTCTCACAATGTACTTAATCTAAAAGGTTTCTCCCTCTTTGCAGAGAGCTGCTGGAACACAGGAAGGTCAAGTTCCCCAAAGCCCAACATTTTGAAGGCATGTTTCAAAAAGAAAACTATTTTACTAGTCAAGGGTTTAACCAGTCAGTCCAGATAGAGTCCCACTTGCACAGGCTGAGTGACTGTGCAAAGCACAGTGACCCAGCAAAGACTAGATCCTAAATATAGGATGTTCAAACAAACCTGCAATTCAGAAATCCCCTAAACATCAATTAGAAGAAATTTCAGGTTGTCAGCACTTAAACACTGCACTAAATGGGGGGAGCCCATGAGGGAATCCCATATGCCAGAGAATAAGCTCTGAAGATGGAGAGCAATGAAACAGAAACCACCTTACTGTCACTCTGATAGTGTGAAGCCTCAAGAGATTGCACAGATGAAAGAATGAGTAATACAGTTTACCTTAATGCTACCTCTTTTAAATTAAAAAAGCCCCCTATTGATCCCTTTGCCACCACAAGGCTATGACTATCTCTTTGGGCTGATGCATCAGCTTTGGTCCTACATGATAGATCGCTCTTCACCCAGATCTCTGATCTGTGTGTAGGGCAGGAAGCCATCTGCCTGCCTCTCCCCAGCTAACTTTTATTGATGAATGTAGATGTTAAGACTGATGATAATTTATTTCAAACCACATAGGGTAGTACACCAGGTCCTTACCCTCCAAAGGTACATTTGCCTCCCTGCCAGGCAACTGGTGCTCTGGCATATGCTAAAACAACTAGGAGCAGTGCCGGGATAGCTGGTAAAGACAAAATCTCTGGTGTTAACACTAAAAATCCTCAATGAAGCAGGTTGGTTTCTTACCGTGCCTCCTCTTCTGCATCCCAGGAAGAGCAATCCAAGTCCTGGAAACACTGTGGTGCCCCTGCATGCTGCATTTCTGCAGATGCTCTGGGGCAGAGCAGCCAACTCAGGGAACCCCTGGGGGGGTTAGGTGCAGGTTACAACATTTATAATAACCCAATAATCAGCCCCAGGTGTCAGTCCCTTGTGCCTACAGTGCTGCCTGCCAGAGAAGGAGCAGCTGTAGCAGAGCATGGCTTATTTCCGTATAAGCAGCATAGACTGGGGCCTTGCAGACCCAGGCTCTGTATCCAAACAAGACACAAATTGAGAACACTACTGTGTTTTTACAAGCAGAGCATCTGAGTGTCCCTTACAGCAACTGGACCCTGGCATTGGCCGGGTCTCCTGCCAATGGTGCCGTGCTGATCTGTCCCACCAATGGCTCAGCTGAGGCACAGCCCTGCACCCTAAGACCACAGCCTGTCTCTTCTTTCCTCCTGCCGTGTGCCTTGACCTGTCTCAGGAGATTTGTGGCCATTAACTTGGAGGAGGGGACAAAATGAAGGAAGAGGAGGGCGTTATTTGTTCATGTTCTAACGAAAGAACACACGAAGACAAGACCACAAGGGTTTTAACCATGACAAACACTGGGCTAGATGTGAGAATTACCTGCTGGAGCCCAGCATCAGCGGGGCAGCCCAGGGCATGGTTTTGTATGAGGTATGGGTTGCTTCCTCCCCTCCCTCCTTTTCATTGCTATACACTACTTTGGTAACAGAAAA